CCACCGCCCCCCCTGAGTCGGCAGGTTCTCTGGGGGGCTGTGCAGGATCTGTGAAGGGCTCTGCCGCGTCTCAGAGGGGCTTTGCAGGATCTGTGGTGGGCTCTGCGGAATCTATGGAGTGCTCTGCAGGGTCTCAGGTGGGCTTGGCAGCCTGAGACCCTGCAGAGCCCACCATAGATCCTTCACAGCCCACCTGAGACCACAGCTTTTCCTGCTACGCTAGTAGCGGAACATGTCAAAAGCTGGATACAGCGTGTGCACTGTATCCAGATTTATTGCAATATTTTACTTTTGTTTGAAGATTAAAGTCCACACAATCCTGCTGCCTTCTTTTCTTTGCGCTTCATATAAAGATGAGTAGGTTTTTTTTTTTTTTTCAAGCCATTTTATTATAAGCAGCTTTTTGAGCAAAATGAAGAGTTTCTACTTTAGTGCCATTTCCCTGATGGAGAAATGAGGCGTTTTATGCCAAAATACATTTTGCCCAAATCACTCCTTTAATTCCCTATGACACTTCTGAGAACCCCTGGCAGTGTGATAGAGAGTCCCTTACCCTGCCGCTGTCACTACCGCTGGACAGCTTGGCCTGCATGTCTGCATGTTAATGTGATGAATGTATAAATAACGGCATGTACAATAAAAAGGGCAATCCGGATACCGAGTCCTACACCTGACACGTATTAACCCCATACAGCTTTCCCAATACATTAATCTCAGTAGTGGTCCTTGAAAATGGACGACACCAAATAATGAGTTCACTGAGCGCTGTGATTCATGCAAATTTGCACTTGAAATAGAAAAAAACCCAGGACTGGGCTTATTCAAGAATCTAAATATGCAGTCGTAAATGGGAAGTAAACCGTGAATCAATGACATGTAGGGGGTGACGGGGGTCTATTTATAAATGATTCACAGGGCCATTCGCCCAGCAAATCTTGGGAACATTTGTTTTGTGGCAAAAGAGGCAAAAGCAAAAAATTCTCAATATCCCTTCTATTGAGGTTTCGGTTCTGTACGAATAGAGGCAAAAACAAACGTTCTTAGTGTATTTTCTTTTCAGGTCAAATGTAATGTAATGCATTGTAATGTAATGCTGCATTATGGCCACTAGATGGAGCTGAGGAGCATAGGAAATAATACATTATACAGCACAATGCAGAATACCACCAGCTATAGAGGAATACAACACATCCTAGCAATACATTATACATACAGTGTATAATGTATTGCTGGGATTTGTAGTGCTCTATAGCTGGTGGTATTCTGCACTGTGCTGTATAATGTATTATTGCTGGGATTTGTAGTGCTCTATAGTTGGTGGTATTCTGCATTGATTGCTGTCTAATTTTACCCTTTCCATTTCACTTTATTGCACACCACACATTTTTTTTTTACTTTCACTGCTCCAAGCGTGACTGGCTCAGTGTCCTTACTCTCTATGGTGAGCTCTGCAGGGGTCTCAGGTGGGCTGGTCAGGGCTTCATCCCCCTCTCCCCCTCCCTCCCAGCTCCTCTTACCTGCTCCTGGTGCCTGTACACCTGGCCTCCTCTGCTGCCGGACTGGAAGTAATATCACTTCCGTCCGGTCCCACATCAGACGAGCAGTGGTGCTGATGGGGCCCCAGCCTGTCTTGAAGCTGCTGGATCGCCAATGCTGGGGCCCTGCACTGCTAGAGCCAGGCCTCCTCCGGGCGGGCCCCCCAGGCTGCCTGGGCCCCTTACATGAGTATCGGACGTACCCCCCGATGGCAGCCCTGTCTGCGGCAGTGTGTCAATTGTGACAATTTGGAAGCCGCACAGGCGCACCTATGGCAACTGGAGAGAAGTCAACAAGGATTGCAAAAACTGACGGCTGGTGCAGGTGCAGTAGCGGCATCTCATCGAAGTCTACAATAGACGTGACTTCACGAGTTGAAGATCTCGACGAGTTGGCCACCTCGACAGAACACCTGCATACAAATTGCAGTCTTCTGTCCATCTGCAGCCATTTTTGCCCCTTTTAAAGGAGAACTATGAGGGGCGTGCTTTTCACTCACCTCATAGTTCTATCCGACCTGTGACAATGAGACTGTCACAGGTCGGCTCAGTAGATCGGGAGGTGAGCGAACACATACCAGCGTTCACTCACCTCTCGATCCTGTCACGGCTCTCTGCCATGACAGGGGAGGGGCTGGATTCCCCCCTCCCCGCTCCGATCCTCCAGCGCTGACTGGCGGATCGGACGGGGGAGGGGGCGGGTACAGCTGGCTCTGCCTCTAGATAGGTAGAGCCAGCTGTCACTCACGCAGCTGGGTGGATCCAGACATAATTGTCGGGATCCGCTTCAGCTGCGGCGTCTCAGTATACACAGCTACAGCTCGCGGTATACTGAGCTTAGGGTGACGGGAGGACGCTAGTTTGTGTCCTCCCGTTACCCTGAGGAGAACTATGGGGAAAAGCCTTAACCCCATAGTTCTCCTTTAATGGCAGATGAGAATTGATCTGAAGGTGTCTCTATTATGCTTGGATAGTTCTGATTAGTTGGGATTAGAAAGGATTTTGGACACGGATGGATTAGCGGACGAGCTCCTCGATTCCTGTAGCGACATTAATTACGGTTTGTGAAGCCACCGGTGATAACTTTACATAGTTTGTCTGATCTGCGGAGCATGGCGGCACACTGATACGGGTGATATATACGGGTACAAACGTTGCCGGCCGCCAGTAATCTGTGATGACAAAGGTTGGAGATTGTGGAAGAAGTCCTTGTCGGGGTAGAGAGCGAGATTCTCTCCATGCAGTTTAATCTTGATTAACCAGCCAGAGAAAAACACTCACTTAGCGTCTCTCTGCATTCAGGAGAAATCCACAGGAAGCTCTCAGAGACAAGATAATGAGCAAAAA